GGAAAAGGAGCCTGAACCGTAAGGTTCTGTAAATAAAAAAAAAAAAAAAAAAAAAAAAAGGCAAGGCAACAAGCCAGTGAGGCAGTGAGGCAGCAGCACACAGGGAAAGGCAAAGTGGAGGCAGAAAAGTGGATGGACAGCCATGCAGGAGGCAGCACACACGGCATTCGGAAGGGCAGCAAGGCAGCAAGGCAACACCATCATGACAGCTCACTCATAGAGCATGGACTAAAGAAGATCGCCGCAAATGTCGGGAAAGGGGGGCCAGGGGCGGAAGGCGGGTGGGGGAAGGGGGGGGAGGTGGACGGGTGGGAGGGGGTTTATGGGGCATGGGGGAGAGGGGGTAAAGCACGAAGGCTTGCAGGCAGGCAGGGGGGAAGGATGGAGGAAGGGAGAGAGAAAGAGACCTGTTGCAATAACAATTCCTGTGCCTGAGCCAGAGAACACTGTCGTGGAGTAAAAACAAAGATTAGAAGCCTCTAGTGGTTGAAATATAAAATCTCCCCTCGTGTCCACAGCAAGAGCAGCGTTCCGCTCCACAGGTTCTTGCTCCCCCGAGAAAGCAGAGTTATCCACCTTTTTCACACACACACACACACACACACACACACACACACACACACAGAGAGAGAGAGAGAGAGAGAGAGAGAGAGAGAGAGAGAGAGAGAGAGAGAGAGAGAGAGAGAGAGAGAGAGAATAGAAGAAAGAATCAGCTGATCACTGGGAAAACACAGAGGAGAATAAATGAGACACAGAGAAGAAAGAATGAGCTGATCACTGCGAAAACACATAGGAGAATAAATGAGACACATTTATGTTTTCTCCCTTCGACTTTGTGCCCAGTTTGTGAAGTTACTAGGTGATCTTGGCTTTTTTTTTTTATAATTAAAACCAGGTCATACTGCTAGGGAGGATGGTAAGAGCATTCCTTCCTAGCAGTATGACACTGCTAGGGACACACACACACACACACACACACACACTCTACAGATGCATACACTCAGTTCTCTTCCTCACCACCCACTGTACCAGCGCTGCTCCCCCAGAGAAAGGGCAGGAGGGAAAAAGAGATCTGGGAATTCAGAGAGGGGTCGTAGTGGGATAGAAGGATCAATATTCGTCCAACCATGGAAGAGGAGTCGGTAATCTCGGACCAGGTCCCCGTAGTTCCCCCGTAGTTCCCCTTTCCATTCAATCTCTGCAATCCAACCCCCTCGGTCTCCACCCAGGCAGGCATTACAGAATTCTTAAATGGTAGATCTTATGTCAGCTTTGGCATGTAAAAATGTCAGTTTGTCTAGAACGAGGTCCCATTGAGAAGAGATGTCTGTTTGGATGTGTTGTTTTATCGAGTCAGTGACTCAGTGAAGTCTGGGCCTTGCAGTCGAACCCCGTCCATTTGTAATGTGCATCTTCTCCACCAGAGGGCCCAGATCAGTGCTCTACGTGCGACTCGAAGATGTGTGAGTACGTAGTAGCCTGCTCTGGGCACCAGAGTTTGCAGATAAGTGCCCTCCAGTCCCATGGCCATCGTGTGTGTGTCTGTGCCCATTTGTTCCCATATCCAGTCTCACCATCGCTGCAGCCAAACTGATCCAGGGCACTGTAAGAATAGGAACTCTATGGTTTCAGTCTGTTTACGAGACGGGAAGGATGTGTGGTAGAGTTTACACCACGGAAGGGCAATTCCTCTCTCTTCGAGGGTGGTTCGGTCAATGAGCCACTTATTGGTCGGGAGGCAATGATGTTCCACCTGCCATGGCAAGGGGGCAACTTTGGCAGGTTTGGTTCGAATGGTTCGGAGCCATGGTATCCTGCGAAGGGTGTCCCTTGCCACATTGATGTGGCTCATCCATCTAGCTTCCAGTCCATCCCTGAGGTGGACCTTGGGTCTTAGCATGCAATAAGTCCCTCTAACTGACAAGGAATGTAGGCGTTGTGTATGCTGTTTACCCAGTCCTGTCTTAGTGGTCCATTGCCAGCAGGCTGGATCCAGGCCCAGTTGAGAGATCGGGAGGTGAGGTTGGTATGCTCGCCAGCGATCCCATTCCCATATGACCCGGTTCCTCATGTGCGAAAGTTCGCTCCATGTTCTTTTAACAGGAGCAAAATCTCCCAACAGCCCAACGGACAATGGCACACCGCGACATTTTTGAAGGCGGGTCACAATATGCCACTGGCGGGCTGGACCACGATGTTTTTTTTCCCTATCCTCACGGGGTGTATTGGGGAGGGGAGGGGAGGGGAGGGGAGAGGAGGGGAGGGGAGGGGTGGGGGATCCTTGCGGGTCATCCTGGGTCAGCAGGTCGGTTGACCCAGGCCAGACATTCACCCACCTGCCACCCACCCATCTGGCCGACCCAGGCGTAACATTGACCCGCCCGTCACCCATCCAGACCAGCTAACTTAGACCCACCCTCTTCCCACCCAGGCCAGCTTATCTACACCCACACCTGACCCAGCGCCTTGTGGGTGGGGGTGGGTGCAAGTGGATGCTGGTATGGGTACCCATTGCAGTGCGCCAGAGGCTCAAAGCGCTGCCTTTCACCAGTCAGTATCAATGATATCTGTGTGTGTGTGTGTGTGTGTGTGTGTGTGTGTGTGTGTGTGTGTGTGTGTGTGTGTGTGTGTGTGTGTGTGTG